TTCCATCGTTGTCATTGTCAAAATCTCTTATCTTTGATATATGACGCCTTTTATTGACTCGAAAAACAGAATTATCTGAAGGAGCCTGTTGTGTTGCTTCAAGGTGTTTTTATTTGTTGATTGTTACACCTCGTTTGATACTTGAGCCCGTTCTATGCTTTACTGGATGTGCACATCGGCCACTAGAACTATAGTCGGAATTGTTTGTTCTAGAGATCAAAATAAAGCTGTCCAGTAATCAGCGAAAAAACCTCCTCTATTCCTTTCTACCTTTGCGTTCCTCAAGGAATGTTGTCCTGCGCTGGCGGTATCTCTGTGGCGAGCAGCAGTGTATTTTTAGTTGAGATTTTGGTTAACGGTTTTTCTTTCTTCACTGTCCACCCCAGTTCTTGCATCAGTCAATTTCTGCTGCTCTGGTTCATCTTTCAAACAGTTTCTGCATCTTGACGTCATTCCCAGGTCGGTCTTCGGATGAACAAGCTGTTCCATGTGACATGATTCTGCTAAGAGGTCCGTGTATTGTTGATGAATCTATGCTGACTGGAGAGTCTGTACCTCAAATGAAGGTTGGTCCTCACTTCATTGTCGATATAAGTAGTTCCTTGTTGTCCATTGCTGATATCTCGGGTTTACATGTGTATCTGTCGGCATGTGTGTATTTTTTTCGAAGGAATTTATCGGATGTAATGCAAGGGCGCATTCATAGTCGGTCGTTCGATCGCAACGATCGTAGCGATCGCCCATCATTGGGTGCGTATCGATCGTCAGACTGTCCGAGGATGGAGCGATCGATACGTATCCAACGCTGTGCGATCGTTACGATCGTTACATTCGGACGACCGGCTATGAATGCGCTCTACTTATAAGAAGGCAGGTAGCGCCGATAGGTGAGGCGGCTTTCGTAGTTCCCACTGGCGTCGCGATTTTCAGGAGCATTCCATAGTGCGCTTCCGTTTTATCATTTTGCTTTTGACAACATTATCATTTTAGGAGCCTATCGAAGATCTCGAGAAAGATAGGTACTTTGACATCGATGCAGATAGCCGTCTTCATGTGATATTCGGAGGAACAAAAATTGTTCAGCACACTCCACCTGGTAGGTTTCGAACTGAGATGCCCTTCACATTACGTTGTGCTTGCGGTTTTGGTTTCAGGAAAGAGGGCTGATGGCCTCAAAGGCCCAGACAACGGTTGTACATGCTACGTACTGAGAACAGGGTTCAACACAAGTCAAGGGAAGCTTTTGAGGTCTGTTGCCCTTATGAATAACATTGATGTCAATATATTCTGTTTCATTTGCTAGATATCGGTTGAATATACAATCATACCAACAATTATTCATGATGATACCTTTTTAGGACCATTATGTTTGGTGTGAAAAGAGTGACTGCGAATAACCTCGAAACGTTCTGTTTCATCTTATTTTTACTTATTTTTGCAATCGCTGCTGCTGGATATCTATGGGTCGTGGGTTAGTAAACAAGAAATTAGTTTGTACAAGCACGCAGTTCCTTGCTTCAACTCGATTTTTACTCTCTACTTCAGGTAGTCAGGATGAAAAGCGCAACAAGTATAAACTGTTTTTGGAGTGTACGCTTATTCTGACTAGTGTGATCCCTCCTGAATTACCTATAGAACTTTCGCTGGCTGTCAATACCTCGTTGATAGCTCTCCAGAAGCTAGGTAAATTTCCACGTACGTTTTTTTTTGTGAAAAAACTTCATTGCTTTGTTTTTAGGAGTATTTTGCACTGAACCATTTCGCATTCCTTTCGCTGGAAAAATTGATATTTGCTGTTTTGACAAGACTGGGACGCTTACCACTGATAACCTAGTCGTCGAGGGAATCGCATTCAGGTGTGCTTACCTGTATTTTCCCAACTTCATCTTACTTACTCGCTAAAACGTGAGGTGTTTCAGCTCCAGTGAAGAGAATGGTATTCTGAAAGCAGTTGCTGATGTTCCATTGGAATCTATACAGGTATCTTCTGGTAGTTTCCGTCGAGAAGTGCAATTTTCAAAATGACTTGGATAATTAAAACCCTAACCATGGGTTATTGAAGGTTCTCGCTTGCTGTCACAGTCTT